CCCCAGCACCTGTCGATGGCTGCAGGCGGGTAGAGGGCATGGTGGGAGCCAGTGGGGACATCATCACTCCTAAGCACTGAGAGTGAGGCTTGGAGGAGGATAAGAAGGGGGGAAAAGGGGCAACATTTGGGACAAAGGTAAATGCTGCCCACCAGTGAAATCTCAGAGGTTGGGGAGGTTGGCGGCAGGAAGGGACCTCCCTGGGGAGGCGGTGCTTGGGCCAAGGCCTGAAGGAGTGGAGGAAAGTCACTGCAGGCAGCAGACAAGACCCTCGTTGTCCCAGGGACTAGCTGCTCTCTCCGGGGGATTTTGCTGCAGCGGACTAATGCAAAAGTAGGATTCCAGTCCGTGGACAGTCGGGTGGTTTGTGAGGACCAGCTTGGCAGGCCCGGCCCCACCGTGACAGCCCTGTTTCCCCATCGTGTGCTTTCAGATGGGAGTCAGTGTCGTGGACTCTTCTGTGGCAGGACTTGGAGGCTGTCCCTATGCACAGGGGGCATCTGGAAACTTGGCCACAGAGGACCTGGTCTACATGCTAGCAGGCCTGGGCATTCACACGGTAAGCAAGCCTGCCCTCTGGTGGCAACAGCCCCAAATTGAGCACTCCAGGGCGCTCCCTGAAGCCAGAGTGCAGCCATGGTGGGGTAGATTTGGTTTTGTGGGGGAGAGGAGTCCTGGTGGTGGAGTGGTTACCAGTTGAGCTGCGATCTGCCAGGTCAGCAGTTTGAAACTACCAGCCAGCTCTGCTGGAGGAAGATGGGGCTTTCTACTCCCGTACGCAGACAAACAGTTACAGCCTCGGAAACCCTATCCTGTAGGGTTGCTGTGAGTTGGCATTGGCTTGATGGCCGTATGGTGGTTGGTTTGTTTATCCCAGGAGAGTGGGGGAGGGGAAGGGCTGCAAGAGGGGAAGGGCCAGAGGATTAGTGGTGTTTTGTCTTAGGATATTGAGGCAGCAGCATGGGGGTGAACAAGCCATGAGCTGGGCCCAGGGCCCAGCACAGCGTGACTGACTGGGAGGCACCAGGGCAGGGCATGGTCCATAAACCCTGAGAGGTCAGCTCATGTCCTGAAGTGGGCCGCTTCCCTTGGGCCAGTTTCCTGTGGAAGGAGTGCAGTAAGGGCGGGGAGGATCAGGAGGCTGGCTTTAAAACCTCGCTCTGTCACTCGCAGGCTCGTGGCCTGAGACAGATTGCTTCCCCTCTCTGAGCCTGGGATATGGGAGGAGTGGGGCTCTTGTGAGGAAATCGGGGTATGGCTCTAGGCTCTGAGTCGAGAGCATCCGTAAACATGAGCGAGTGTTAGAAACAGGTGTTCAGTCCTCCTGCCTCTGCCTCACAGTCCATACTGCACCACACAGTGGGTGAGCTGGGTTCCCGCCGGCTTCGCCGCCTCCCAGGGTAGAGGGGCGTCGGAGGATCCCCCATCCCCCACCCCATGCTGGCCTCGTGCCACTGATGAGAGGAACAGGACCCCGTGTCTCTCACCTTGACTTTTCCAGTGCCTCCGTTGGCTGTGCAGTCAGACGTGTGCCTGGGTGCAGTGTGGGGGGCACGCCATGACTTACTCCTCCCTCTAACTTGTTTCTCAAAAGGGTGTGAACCTCCAGAAGCTCCTAGAAGCTGGCACCTTTATCTGTCAGGCCTTGAACAGAAAAACCAGCTCCAAAGTGGCCCAGGCCACCTGTAAACTCTGAGCTCTCGGCCTCCTGACGTTCCCGGGGACGGTACCGATGAATCACGGATGGGGATATGGAAATGGAAGGGAGCAGGCACCTCGCAGTAAAACAGGAGGGGCCGAGGGAGCTGCTGGACCTCCACGCCCTGAGTGAGAGGCTGTGGCGGTTGCACGTCGCCCTTCACCTAGGAGTTGGATGTGGAAGTGTTGCTGAGGACACTGGGAAGCCCACTGCCTGGTCCTGGGCTGACCTAGAGCGCCCTCTCTGGGTGACATCTGCTAGCTCACTGCCTGCCTCTCCACAGCTCACCAGCAGTGACCCTGGGGCCACTGCTCCCTGACGTCTCAGAGCAAAGGGACCAAGGGGTGGCCAGCTGCCAACTCGAGCACCACTGGAGTTCTCTCCACTCGGAATGTGATTTTTGAAAACACTTCTGTAATTAAAGGTTTAATGGCACCAAACTGTGGCAGCACTCGTATGTGTGTGTGTGTGTGTGTGTGTGTGTGTGTGTATACACACACGTGGGGAGACCTGGGGAATAAACCATCTTTACAGCGTGCGCTCTGACAGGGAAATGCAGCCCTGAAGTCGGTTATTACCCCCCGGTTCCTGCCTTGAGGGCTCTGCCGAGTGCCACATCCAGAGTGGCTGGGCTCCCACGAGCTTTGGTGTCACTCAGGAGACTGGTGGCAGCATTGGTGGCCAGAACACCCCAAGAGATTTGGGAGGCTCCCCCCACTAAGCCAGGGCACTCGCACAAGCTCCTGTGGCCTGCAGCTGCTCTTGGGTGCCCTGGTCCTGGAGGCCTGGCTGCTAACAGGAGCTCTCACGTCTGCACCTCAGGCTCTGAGATCAGTCATGTTTTCTGGATTTGGGTGGAGACGGGCCCTCCAGGCTGGGGCCCACCAGCACAGGATGCATTTACTCTGCACTTTTACCTGGTTCCCCCCCAGCCCCTCCTTTCTTTGAACAGGGAACCCTCATGGCAGACAGGGAGCAAGCCCTCCCAGCAGTTGGAGGGCCATACTCCCTGGAAGGGCTGAGAGTGTGTCCCACCACTGGGTTTGCAAACTAGACTCCTGGGTAGTGGGAGAGCGACCCACTTCAATCAGTGTAGCCCTATTTTGCCTCTGTTCCACTTAGTCCCATAGTTCATGAAAGACTTAATTTAAGGGATGGGTTTGGTGAATATGAAAAAGTTCAAAACTGCTGGTTCGCCTAGAGCCTGGTCAGCCTCACTCTCGACCCTGTATCCCTAGAGCTGGGCAGTAAGTTGGAGGGTCTGGGCTAGCTGTCCGTTCTTACTCCCTCCTGCCTCTAGGGCTCAAAAAGTGCTTGGCTCCAGAGGGGAGCTGGATCAGTGAGCCCCGTTTCCATCCCTCCAATCATTGACTGATGGGATGGTTGTGACCACGCCTTTCCCCTGCTTACCAGGAAGATGGAATGGCTTAGTGGGACTTCTTCCTCTGTGCCAATGTGGCAGGCCACCTCCATAAGAAGGGTTGCAATGTAGCCCCTAAGATGCTGTCTCCCATCAGAGTGACGAAAATGTCCAGGTCACAGCCTCCACTACCCAGAAGAACTAGTTGGTGTCTGGCTACCATTGCTGATCTATCCTATTAGGATCAGAA